TGAGACACTTGGTTTTGCCCTGCAAGTGTGGCATATGTGCTCTGTATGCATGTGTCAATTAATGAGGATCAATTATGAGCGCTGAAAGGCTTCTCCTCTTCGAAGTTCGAAGGGCGAGCATTTTAGCGGACGTCATTTCCACCTTCCCAGGATGTATGCCTAGATCGCGCATCACTATCGTGTGATTGGCTCTAGGAACAATTCATTCGAGGAGATAACCAATGGGTTGAGTCATAATTCTATTAATATAGGAAAGAAATGAGCATATGAAGGACCCTTGGAGCTCGTTCTGGAACCTGCGAAGCCTAACAGAAATACTAAAATGCAGTCAAATAGACTTGGGCAGTTCGCTCCGCCCCAAGGAAGAGACAAATGTCTCTTTTTTGGGTCCGAGTCTTACCTTTGTGCATGACGAAGGTTCGAAGCCGCAATAATTAAGGCCTAGTCTAGGTCCTATCCCCTTTCCCGTTCTGTCGTATCCGGGCAAGGTGTCCCATATTTCCACAGCCACAGTAAAAGTTTGAAGATTACCTGCTTCCCCCTGGTCAAGAGAATGTGATTGAGCAAGCCACGAAGGCTTGCTAGAATGCCGTTGGCCTCCCGATCGTGCCAAGGCTTGAGCTGCTGGCAGCCTGAGAGACCAGGGGCAGGGGGATTTTCACCCCGCCAAGGAAACTTTGATGCTAGAAATAATCATGTTATTTTCATCGGAAATTATGACGGTAATGATGATAATGAGACAAAGGTCTCTATTCTCCAGGAACTTTTTAGAAGTTGTACCTATTATTGCATTGTGCAGGATGCACACGACGAACCCACGCGATGGTGAGACATGGTGTACATTGGTGTTAGACTTAACTGCACTGGCGTCTTGCGGAAAAGTTGAGGACTCCACTCTCCACGCCTGAGATGGGGTGTCGTCACCACTTTTCGCCCAGAATTGCCTGACGCTCAGTCTGGATATCGGATGATTGAAGAGCGGATAATTCATCCCGTTTTTCACATGCAAAAGTGAAGCCGAAAGCTTGTCAATATCACAGATCGATCGATGTTTTCTCTTAATGATCCAAGACTAGTCGACAGGTTTCAGCGTGTATGGTGCCATGCCATTTTTACCTAACGAAATAAGGATCTGACTTGAAGCCTTCTGCCTAGCAGGTAAGATTATGAACAAGGGTTCAAGATGGTCCGTGGCATTATGAACCGCGGTCGGTCTACCCTTGCAGGAAGAGGGAAAAATAACAAGGATCCTAGTAATTCTTCCACCGGGATCGTAAGTACCTCTTCATACCCTGGTGTGATTGAGCTGCTGTCCAAGGCAACTCTTTAAGGGTCAAATCGATGTACTTTCTGCGAGTCATCATGAATCCAGAATTCCAGATGGCTTGCTCCCAGCCTCACATTGGGGTGGGGGGATCCGGTTTTCGGACATCGTCCAAAGTTCAAACTTCGAAGTTCAAGAGTTCCTGAACTTCTTCGTCCCTACAGGTGGAGCCCGAGGGAACATTCTTCTCAAGCTTTTAGTGCAATTCGCTGAGACTCTAGCTGTATGACCATGGCGGACTCACGATTTGGAGGAACTGACTGGTTCATCGTACCGAGAGACTCTATAATACACAAATACTTCCCGGGATCAAGATTCAATGTCCTCCAAATACTAATGGAAACGGGAACACCAGTGAGATGACCTATGAAGCCTGGTCCCTGGGCTAGTCAAACTCCAACACCTGCGATTTTGTGAGGCGGGCAACAATTTGTTCTGGGCGTTTCAGTCCACCATTACTCCGTACAGAAGGTGGTGATACACGAGAAGATGGATCAAGACGTCTAACTCGAATTTTCGACTTCGTAATCTGTGCAGCCTCAATCATTATTGAAGCGTCCACCTACCGTGTGCAGGTTTCAGAGGGGTGAGTGAGGCTTACCATGGTAACATTATTATTATGACGGTTATGCAGCTTCCTCTGGTAGGTGATAATCGGGATGGGTCTTGGCTGGACTGCTGCTGTCAGTCCTGGGCGCTTGTTGGAGTCTCGAAGAGATCTGTATACACCGGGGCGCTAGCTATAAAAGGCTAGCTTGTCTTAAGCTCACGTTAGAAATAAAGCTAACCACTTCTGGCACACGACAGGTCGACAGCAACCTGGAGATACACTATTCTCAAAATAGAAACGATAACAGCCCATTCCCGATCTGGCCTTAGCGGACCCCGTGATAATCGCGGCTCTGGACACAGAAAGTCAGAAACAGAAAGAAATCCCCTCATCCCACTGTCGCGGGTCTGGTTGTCGCCCGACTACGACTCGAGGAAGAGTCATCATACCGTTCTGACTTTTGCCAACTCCTGATGATCCGGACTGGAGCTCGCGCTCGTTTGTTGGACGCTTGAAATCGCCTTGAGGCTGCAAAAAGAAGGGGGTTTGGACGCCAGCATTTCCCAGGTCCGCCCAGCCATCGCTGTGGAGACAATCTTTGAACGGCGCTCCTTTCGGTATCAACACACCGTCGAAAGAGTCGCCAGACTTTCGTTTTTCTTCAATTTTTAGGTTCTAATCATCTCATCGAAATGGGATTCGGGCAATTCGACTCGGTATGCCAAAAGGCAGCGCTCCCCCTTTGCTCGTTGGTGGGCCCTTCATCCTCGATATCAGGATCCACTGGCATCATTCCGAACTGTTATGCGCGGAATATCGAGTTGGCAAACACCATTATCTTTGAAGGCGCTGCGTCCTTCGTGCATATCGTTGCTCTAGCAATGACGGTCATCATGATTCTGCATGTCAGGTCCAAATTCACCGCAGTTGGTGAGTCCTAAACCTGGACCCCTTCCTCCGATCGCGTGTCAAGTTCCTGCTTGAAACTGCATGTTTTACCGATGTTTCAAATGGCACGCTAACTCTGTGAACTATCAGGCCGTAAAGAGATCATTACATTCTTCTACATCTACATGGCTCTGACTATCTGCTCATTGGTCATTGATGCCGGTGTGGTTCCCCCTCGAAGTGGTCCTTTCCCCTACTTTGTGGCCGTGCAGAACGGCCTATCCTCTGCATTATGCACCTGTCTGCTCATCAATGGATTCGTTGGTTTCCAACTCTACGAAGATGGCACTTTTCTGTCAGTCTGGCTCATACGACTGACGTCCGCGGCTATGTTTGTCGTCTCATTTCTGATCTCGCTGTTGACTTTCAAATCCTGGGGCGGCATGAGCCCCACGAACACCATCGCTCTGTTTGTGGTGCTATACATCCTCAATGCGATCAGCCTCGCGATCTATCTCGTTATGCAACTCCTCTTGGTAATGAATACCCTCGAAGACCGCTGGCCGCTGGGGCACATCGCTTTTGGGGTTATTGTCTTCATCTGCGGACAGGTGCTTTTGTATGGATTCAGCGATACAATCTGTGACAACGTACAGCACTATCTTGATGGTCTCTTCTTCGCTACGTTCTGTAACTTGCTCGCCGTCATGATGGTCTACAAGGTAAGTTTCTTTCTTCCTTTTCCACTTCGAGCAATGTTGACCGGTCTTGTAGTTCTGGGATTACATCACAAAAGAAGACCTCGAGTTCTCGGTGGGCATTAAACCTAATACCTGGGAAGTCAAAGAACTTCTTCCGGAGGAGGACCGTCGAACGACCGTCTATCAAGACTCTCACTCGGAGTATGCCGGGAGCATGTATCATCACCGTGCTTCCACTTATGGCGGTCACAATTATTGACCTGGTTCTTAATCGTCTTTTTTGTTATACTAATCACATCTTGGGCATTTTGGTTTCTCTTCTGAGTCTCATATTTTGATCAGCCGGGTTTCATGCGTCCAAGACTCACCGGTGGATATTACATGCATCAGCCATCACATTAAGCACTACATTTGTGGACATTATGTTTTATCATATCCATACTCCATATGTCAGCGGTATTCGTCCAGACTTGCAGGGATGTTTTACTTTTAGCGCTGCGCTGTATTTTTCGGGGAGGGGAAAGCATGAGAACCTTGTTGTCCTCTTTTAATCTAATGAACCTGCACCGATCCTTTATCATTTACCAAAGTTACAGAAATACCCTGATGTATGCTGCATCCAGTCCATGGTATTCTATGCTGGCTTCCTGATTATCCAATCCTGCTATTGAATGAACAGCGTTCTTTGCTCTATTAGGTCATTTAATCGATACTAATTAGAGCGTCCATTTGAACTTGGTCATTTCAACTGACACGCGCCACCATTCTAGTGGAAAGCTAACTCTGCAACTGCCACGGCAGATAAATCCTTCGTTGAAAGCATACGGAGCACACTCGGACGGTTGCTAAACAGTGTCATTTCTATTGGAGTACTGCAGGGCGGATAGACGGAAAATGTCTCCGGCTAGGAAGAATAGGGCAGGTCCAAAAGTATGCAGTTACACTCATCGTCACATTTTCTCAACGGAGCGTAGCTCAAATCTGACCGCGTGAATCCAAAGGCCCCGAAACATGATCCTAGCTCGCTGTCATTTTGTCCATGCAGGGATCAGAAGCCGCTTCCAGCGGGAACGGCAAATAAAATATTGGCTTGATCCATTTCTAAGTCAATTGGTATCCCCTAGGCTGCAGTCGCATGCACCAGCTGCAGCAGACTTAACGCTTGGTGGAGGAGAATGGCTGCTCATTGCCTGTTGATCGTACGAATTGCCGTGTTCCGGATGCTCACCAAACTTTCCTCGGTGGCAACATGATGAGGAGACCCTACGTCTCTAAGCCGGGTACAACACGACCGGTCATTTCTAAGCAGGCCTCGGCGTGCAATGTGGACGGTGATTCCAGACACATCAATGTAACCTCGGGCTTTCGGAGGCTGCGGGAGACGAACAGAATGTCCAATAATCGAGTGCAGTTCATCGGCAAGGCAGGACATGAGGTCCAATGCGCTCAAGTGTTGGCAAGTCATCAGACGAAAAATGAACAGAATTTTTTATTTTTTTTTTCAGGCTTGGACAGAATAAAGTTTCTTCCACAACTCTCAATCCACAACCACGACGTCGTCAGCGTCCATAAATTCACTCTCAGTATTCGGTGGAGTATTACTCTTGCCAGCCTGTGGCGGTGTATCATCAACTTCCTCGATGGGTGCTGTGGCAGTGGAGTACCAACCCTTATCAATCGATTCCACCACGGATCTGCATGCATCGGCGACAAGCTCTAAATATGCCGGATTCTGGTTTGGCAAAAACATGCTGATATGGGCACTCACTTCGTCCGCTGCCCTATCATTGATCGCCCTGACCCACGAAAATCCCGATTCCGGAAATCCCGGTGTGCCTTGGCCCGTTTCAACCTCAGCCGGCAGGGTGCAGAATGTGCGGTGCTTTGAGCGTAGGATCCGTTGACTGAACGAAGTCTTGCCTTGATTTGTACTACTCTCGACCAACGATGGGGCGCCTTTACCCAAGCACGTATAGAAATTCGTGCAACGTATCCCTCGTTCGTTGTACACTGTGGACAGGAGTGCGAGACGCTGTCGCAATTCCGAGGGGCGCGCTAAGCACCCAACAAAGATAAGATGCGAAGAAACCCAGTCCCAACCCTCCGTCAGTCGTTGTCGTTGTGTGTACATTGCGGCGGCGCCACCTGCAGCCACAGCACCTGCAGCCCCTGCAAACATAGCATACCGACCCCAGCGCTGCCAGGATGGCGTGGCAGCAGCATCAGTAGCCGAGGCAGGAGTACCGGCAGGTGTCGAAGGTAGAAGCCTGGGCTGTGTTTGCTGTGTGGCGTTTGAGCCTTCCCTTGAAGCGTTATTGGCTCCTCCGAAACCGAACAAGCCCGCTACTTCCGATAATGCGTTATATGCAGTGGTGACATTCTTATAGTGTCCTTCGGCACCATAGGAAACAACGCCCGGAGCAATTCCCAGAAACGGTGTATCGAATGCAAGCACGCCCTGAATATGAGGAAACATGAATGTGCCCGGTTCTACGAGTCGTGGACTTGCGGCAGTCTTCGAGTTTGCTTCGCAGCCAACTGAAGCATGGCTTGAAGATACATCTGAGTAGGCGTCTGCAGGAATGGGCTGTTCTGATGCGAGCAACAATAGCGTCTCGGCTGCGACAATGCCACCCATAGAATGACCAGCTAGGAAAACGTGGACAGAAGGGTCAACGGTCGGCGATGTGGTACGATTGGCTACTTCCAAGTCAATAACTCTGTCCTGGAGCCTAGGCAAGGAGAGAGGTATCAGCGAGATTGCAAATAAAGTATGAGTAGTCCAAGCCCGTGGTCTCGACATAGACATACCATTCCCGAAATCTTCCCACACATTCCTTCAGACCACCACGAGTCTCATATTTGGGATATACCACGGTAGCGACCTTGACTGCGGGAAGTGCACGAGCAACTACAGCACGTAGACGATCTGGAAAATCGGCGAAGGTGTTGTCATCGCCCTTTATAAGAAACAGATGTTCAGTATGAGCCCTGATCGAGTTTCCCAACCTTTGATAACACGGAGGAACAACAGGAACATTAGAGAAGCGAACGGACCTTGAACCCATGAATGAAAACTAGCAGCAGTGTCTTCCTCATAATAGGACGTTGCTTTGATGAAGACGATACATCTTCGCTCATGTTCGAGTGCAAAGTAGATACTTTGAATGGTAAGAGCCACCTTCCTCTGGACCACAATCGGTCCTGAGATTGGAAGTCTCGATATCGCGTTACGTCATTGGTGCCGATACCATCACGTGTCAGATCTGCAATGCAGCCAATGATCGTGAATCACCATGGTAATATAGGTGTCGATTACTTTGTTCAATTGCAGAAGCATCGTCCTCTACCTACTCGACTTCAATTGATATGCTGAGCAAGGGACACCTCTCCTCTCCATGACATTGCACTCAGAGAATTGTCCTCCCAAATAACCTCTAAAGAACAGTAAACCACATGAGAAAATCAGGGAGATGATTATGATGACCGAATAATATACACAAGGCACCTACAAATCTCGGAGAGAGGGCTGATTATGTGATCATCCATCATTTGATTGCTTCTTCAGCAAACAATCGATGGTCTATGACATCCTCGGCTCATCTACTCATCTCAATCTTTCAGGCCCAGACCGGGCCGAGGCCGACTCGGCGATTGGCCAATGCATACCTGGGGTGGACCATAAGCATCCATACGGTCATACCTCCAGAGATCCCAATAGTTCTCCAAAGTCTCAAAGCTCACATTGACGAGCAACTATATATATAACGAAACCAACATTCACCTCGCTCCACGACAGCCTGTAGTCAAGGGTACACCAGAGCGAAACCACGGAGCCGAAGATGTCCTCAGACGCGATCTACAACATCGTGAAGCTGGTCCCCAAACCAGGGAAGTACGACGAGGTATGGCCCTTACTCCTCACCAAGCGCGACCGGCTTCTAACCTCGGGCTTGAAATCAGGTCGTAGAAGCATTCGGCGCCCTCGCGAAGCATATCAAGGCGCACGAACACAAGACTCAAATCTACTTCGCTATTAGACCCGAAGGGACTGATGAGCTGCTCATCGTGGAGAAGTGAGTCTCGTCGCATTCACGAACGATTCGGTCTGAGAATCAGGGGAAGACTGACTTTGAGCAAGATACACCGATGCAGCAAACCTGAAGGAGCATGCGTCGACACAGGAATTCAAGAACTTTTCGCGTCGGCTTGCGCCTTGCCTGGCGCAGCCGCCTGAGATGAAGAGGTCGAAATTCCTTACGGGGTTTGATGGTCGCTCGAAGATCTAGGCCGTCTGTTCATAACGACAAGACTGCTGCTACTGTATAGACTAGTTTATGTATGTCTGAACGAGGGCTTTCGATGTCAGAGGCGGACTATGTGCTTGTGCAGACAGTGAGCGCTATTCGGTTGGCATATTGAACACCTGCGGACTAGCCAATTGAATTTGTACCCCAACAAGCAATGGCCGGTAGGCTGCGAGTACCAGCGGTCAATAAGGAATAGTGGTGATGAGAAACATAGACTCCTGCAACATGCGCCATCTCATCGGGTTTACTATCGTGCATGAAGGCATGAACTGTCCATAATACTGCCGGAAGAAGCGCTCCAGACAGCGAACTCAATCGTCGAATTCTCGCTGAGGCTGAGCCATAGAGCTCTCCGACCGCCTGTGACTAAAACCTTGCTCTTTCGTAGACAAGACTGAGTCTGCGTCGGGCTCACTTTCGGCTATTGGCTTGTGCAGTCATTGTGACAGCTTCCGTATGTACAGAATGCCGGTCGCAGGGCATAAGAGCCACTGTGAACACTATCTACAGCAAATCAAACTAGTCACCCCTGAGGTCATAACACCATCAATGAAACAAAGAGAAGGTCGGCACAATGCACTATATTCCTGATGCTTATATGATATGTGTAGTAACCGAGTTTGCTGGAGATGATGTTGACACCGCCGAGGTTAAATCAAAGCGCCTAATGCCTTCCAATGCAGCCTGTTTACGCCTTGGCCAAGAGTGACCGGTGAGTGAGAAATATTGAATCGGTATGAAGCCACCATAAACAAACGCAACCTATTGAAACCCAAACTCCCGCCATTTAGATCCGACTCCAAACGCTTTCCCGCTTGGTTCCATCACGAGTAAGTCACACGATAAAAATTCATGACGTCGTAAATCCTGTCCACTCATTCAAATCTCGATCTCGTATGCTATTGGACAGCGGGTTCTCCAAGTCGTACCCATTCTCGAGGAACATCCATGCTGCGGTTCACGCGGCCTCCTGGAGTGAGGGGTACGTCGACACGGCCACGGCCACGTTCATCTCCGTCACCTTCCTCGTAGAATGATAATCGCGAGAAATAGTCCTGCAGGACAGCCTCTCTGTCATTGTCGCCCACGATTGTGTTGTACTCTGGGGGTGGGGTTATTAGTGGCGGTGGAGGTGGAACGTCTTCAAACGCAGGCGGAGCGAAGGATGGCGCCCGAAGAAGGTGCATAGGACGGGGAAAACGCTCATTTGCTTCATGCGCGAGATGGGCTTGCGGCGGACGAGCCAAGCCCCCAGATCCGTTGGTGAAGCTGCGAGATACAGTGCCGCCATTCGGTGCATCTTCCCGATCAGACACTAGTAGTTGGCTGCTCGAGCTGTTCCTGTTGACCCTTGCCGCTCCAGGACAGCCGCATTCGTACTCTTGCGTAGGCAGACCCGGATCGGAGCTTGGAGTGGTGTAGGCAGGGAGATAGATGTTGGCTTGCGTGGCCTTGCAGGAGAGGATGTGGAAGGGAGAATCAATGGAGATTTCGAAGTGCCTACGCTTATTTGGGTCGCGCTCATCAAGTCTGGAGAGACGCAGCACAATCTAGATATCAAGCCAGTCAGCAACAACTAGGAAATGTTAAACGTAGGCTATCTTACCTTGATCCAGTGGTTGATTTGAATATTCTCGTACGTCGTGTCAAAATGCAATCGTTGCGATTCATCCCGATTCTTCATTTCGTGGCAGCTAGGAAGTTGAACGTTGAACTCCATTTCGGTCGGGCCGACGCCTGAATCATTTGCCAGATTTCCTAGTAAATTCGTCCGGTTACGATCCACTATCTCCTCGCCTCTCGCAGCGGCCGCACGATGATCCCAATCAATGCCGCCACCTGCAGTGACACGCATCGAGCTGCCAGGGTAGGTGCTCACACTGGCGGAATCCGCTCGTTTCTCAAAAAGTAACACCTTCTTTGGTGGCTGCAGCCGGTGCACACTCTTGTCCGCCGTCCAATGTTGAATGTTTTCTGTCACGTAAACCTTGATCCGGTGACACTCAACCTTGGCTAAGGGGGTCAATTTGAAGGCGATAGGCACCTGAGAGCCTAGCGGAAAAGACTTCCCTGATATGACAATATCGTAGTGCAGTTGATCCTCCCAGTTCCGAGAAATCGCAATGGGCTCAACCTGCTCCAACGATCCCTCGGCCGGGGTACGAATCACGGGCACTTCCAAGGTGCCCATTAGATTAGGCCGGAATGCGCCTGAACGTTCAACAATGGCTTCTAAATCGTATCTGACAAAGCCTAAATCGGTCTTGATCGTCTCTGGAAGAGAGCCATCGATGGGAAATTCAAAGTTATACAGGTAGTCACCAACTGGGAACATCCTGTAGTTGCGCTGGTGATGCGACTGATTGCTAGACGGCATTTCGTTCTTTCCAAAGCTGCGCGAGTATGCGTGATTGGCTTGTAAGGAGAGGCGCTTGAGCTCTTTCGCGGTCGACTGGTTGAGGGACGGGGACGATCCACTCTTGGAGAAGAGTTCCCGGGTAGTCGTTGTCGAACCATCTTTGCCTGTCCCCGAGGTCACCGGTTTAGCGTGCTGATAGAAATGTGCTCCGTAATCGTTCTGCATGAGGGCAGTATCCCCGTGGTTAAAGTACATCACTCCATGAGTGACCAGGTCTTTCTTGTCATGGAAATGGATCTTCTTCGGCGGAATTCCTAGGAAAGAGTTTTAGGGTCAGCAGGGCTCTTTTCTAACAGTATACAAACTTACGAGGAAAACATACCGTCAGGCCAGTCAGTCTGGGCGTGACCACGGAAGCATATCGAGATCTTTTTAACCTTGACGCTCTTGGTGATTTTCAAGTGCAGCTGCCCGCGCAGTATGGCGGATTTCTTAGTACTCGGGTCATTCTGATCATAACCTTGAAGAAACAAGACGGGCTCTGTTAGGGCAATCCCAACAGCGATACCGCTCCCCGTTGCGACAATCTTCTCATGGCGGAGAGGAGGGAATGACGCCGTTGCATCCGACGCTGATGGGATATCTTGCCCCGATGCCGGACCTAAACTCATAGACACCGTAGAGGAAGAATCGGATCGCATTCTCCTCACCGCTGCAGCAGAAACTAACATTTGCGCGTCATGAGGAGAAATTATAATCTCGGACACAGGACGTGGTCGCATCGTCCGAGACATCAGGTGGGTAGCGGTAGCGGAAGTAGTGTTGGTAAGTGGCGGCGATGATGAGCAGTTACTGGGCGGCGCGCCCAAGCGGAGGAAGCGCTTTGCGTTCTCCCGTGGCCCCGCCAGCCTTCTTAGTATAGAACTGCGACGATTTGGGCTTTGTTTAGGAAATTGCTCGACCGCCAGGTCAGTGTTGACTGTAGTTGAAGTAATGGAACGACGTCTCTCTGATCTGGAAGTGAACAGACCAGAGAGTGACTGGAAAATCTCAGGGTTTCCCGACCTAGACAGGTCCTGTTGTAGGGGAGAGAGGTGAGTAGCTGTCATGTTGAAGAATACCGAGGCAAGTGCATAATGGACTAGACGGATGAAATCGGCACTGAAATGATCTTATACAGTAGCCAGGAGATTGTGGATAGGAAACAGAGACAAATATAGAAAATAGGCTGAGGGTAAAAAGAAAAAAAAGTGAAAGTGAAGCGAGTGACAGAGTGTTAGAGAAAGAGCAACAAACTTACCCCGTGTTCTGCAGCTCCCAAGTAATATTAAGGATGATCTCTTCCTCTTTTTCTTTTTTTTTTCCCCTTTGGGTCTATTATTTTATTTTGGAGAACAAAACAATAATGTATGGCTGTGCTTTTGTTTCTTACGTGCAAGCCCACCGCATTGAGTCGTGCGACTATTTTCCTTTCTATTTCCCTCGTTTCTTTTTCCCTTTGGCGCCTCTAGACTTTTGGGACTTTTGCTGCTTTGGCTGATGATCGACCACGCAAGGAGCCACACTTGATTTTTGGCCCGAAACGGAAACGAGGCGTTCCCCCAGAATCGGTGGACTGAACTCCAGTTTGGAGTCGAAAAGAGTCTGTGATAGTACTCCCAAGCCTAGTCAGTCGACTCTCCAGCGTCTCGGTTATTCTGTGGTTATGTCGGCTTGGAGTGAGGGGAAATGCACAGCCTGGTGATCACGATCACCACAGACCACTAACGCGATTGCAGGCCAGAAGGGCCGATGATGCGGGGATCGGTGAAAAGAGAGGAAGTTCGCTGTCTAGGGTCGACAGACAACACCGAAAGGAAGAGCGACAGGGTATGCTATGGTAGGTACAAGGCAATCTCCAGCGAAACAGAGTTGCAGGATGGCAAATTCCCAAGAACCTAAACAGAAGAGGTGACGGAATAGACACGATGGCAGTGAGGCGGTGCGAAACAGTTTATTTGTTCGTTCCTTGGGTGATAGATGAAGTCTTGGTATTATTGTCATCAGACCAGTCGAACCTCCTAATAGTTTGGCAGTTTCTGTCGGGCCCAGAAGATAGACCCTCATGTTATATTAGGTATCGAATCTATGGTAGAGACATAACTCTACGATGACGCGGAATACCACCGAGCCACCACTCTAGGTCGCTGGATATGGATCCGGCGAGCCGGCAGACTGGCAGCTGGCATAGGTACACGCACGATCCACGAAAAAGAGTTCGGATCATACACAGAATGAAAGTCCAATCACCAAGCGTCCCCCGATCTGTAGCCTAAATTCCATCGGATTTCATTTGCGCGGGTTTCGGGGCAGGTTCCTAGCTACTCATATCTCAAGTGTCCAGTGCTTCGCAGGTAGATTTCCTGCTTGTGTCATGTAGATCATGCGCAAAGAGCTACATGATCATGATGCATTTTTTTCAGTAAGCCATCTTTTTCCATGTGATACCCCTCAGTGTTCACAACTTCAAGGTGATGCTAAGACTTTGATGCTGCTAAAACCCCGGCGCTAGTTTGCCCTGGCTTAGAAGGATGACGTCGTCGAGATGATGTCCATATTTCGGGTATTCCGGCATTAAGAGGACAAATTCCATATTTCTTGCCTCTTTTCTCTCTGAATTCTTTTGTTCCTTAGTTGTTTCTCCTCATAACTCTGCAGCTTATCAGCGAGGACAAATCAAGATATATCAGTATCTCATCATTGATCTAAATGCGTGGGCTCGAAACACCAAATGAATCTTACCTGTCGATCTCTGCCAGTATGATGGGATCAAATCAATCAGTGATATCATTATTATTCTGTACCTGTGGCACGCCACACATGAACAATTTAACTCTTCTATACCCCATACTTGGGTGTTCTTGCACCACTACTCAGATGTTTAGTGTATTAATATGAGTAATGGATCCTTCAAGAATCAACGATAAAGAGCACAGCCGAACTCGAGTAGTCATCTTTGGGGGATGACTCTATCTAGTTGAATATCCACTTTACCAATTACAACCGGGTCCTAGCAGAGGCTTCGCACAAATCCCTAGATTCGTGCCTGATAAGCCGAACCGAAGAACCTGATACCTCCGAGGCACAGTAAAGAAAAGTCTAGTATGAGGATCGCCGGCAACCGCGGCCGGTGGGGATCCTGACGCCGATGATGACCTCATCATTTGATCTTTTGCAGATTCGTCCGGACAAGAGTGGGAATAAACTCCGCTAATCAAAAAAGGGCGATTGGAGGATTCCAGCGGAGCTGTTGGTCTGGTAACTCTTTGGATCTTGGCCTTCAAGTGCAAATCTCTATACTTCTAATATCATCACTAGAGGCCGACCTCCCCACATCACGCTCATTTCTTCAGATGAGGTGGGACTTGTCTAGCCCGTAGTCTGTAGTCTGTCCGACACTATTTTAGCAGTATCAGGTACAGGGTCATGAAACGAGCCCTCCCTGCCTGAAATAGAAGCTCGAGTCCCAAATGCCAAGAGTCTACCGCCTCGCCAGGTACGAGATAGGGCTGATGATATCAACCTAGGCTGCTTGTAGTTCGCTAACGAAACGAGCGGATCATACGTCATTGTTATGGTTATTTATCATGCTAGTTAGTCTATCCGTATTTGCAACAGAATGTCGGCGGAGTGTGGAGTGCGGAATGCGGAATGTTTGTCTGCTACACAGTTCCCCTTGCATGGATCCTCGTTGGCATTGAGATAACTTTATGGAGCTATGGATGTCAACATCCCTACTGTTGGTAACGAATCAAGAATGCTCCACTTTCTGCCGCGAAATGGTCGCTCCTCGTAATGCATTGATCTAGGAATCTACTAATATGTGGCCCGTAGATATGCATCGAGAATGTGTTCCGTAACGCTCCTTCAATTGTTTCAAGGACTGCAAATTAAGTGAACCAGTTATCATCAAGCTCGTTGATATTCATCAGGCCGTCCCCGAGCAGATTCTGGTCTCCAAGCCCTTCTCCATCGAAGTTCTCGTTTTCCATGAATAAATCATCGAAGCTTGATTCCCCTGGCGCCATAACATCGTCCGCATTATTGCTCATCTGTCCTCCCGCTTGCTGGTCCTGACCTGGAAATCCATCAGTTTTCTGGAACTCTAAATCGAATGCATCGCCTCCCGTAGGACCACTGCCAAGGTTATCCCCCTCTTTAGAGAACATTGACGCCATAGCGCCCGACTGATCAGTCTCCTGGCCGATATCGCCGCCGATACCTGTATTTCCAAGGCTCGAGCCAGACAGGAAATTCTGATTCCCAATATCATCATCTCCAAAATCGAGATGAAGATCGAACTCATTGGGCCCAACCCCACTGTCATTGAGCATGGAGTCGAAGTTGATTTCTGTAGTTCCAGGGACTGATTGATCTGGCGCCGAGGACTGTCCTTCTTGCTTTTCCACCTTGACATTTTTCCCTTCAGTCTCCTGCGACGGCTTATCGCCGGTGAGAGGCTCTTGCGCGGTAGTAAGCTCTTCGTCCAATTGGGATTCGAGCGGTTTCGTCTCTGTCACTTCCTCTATCTTTTGGGGCGGCTCTTGTGCGCCTTCATTTTCCGACCTGTTGCTTGGCTCATCCATAGCAACATCTTGAGCAGGCTGTAGAGCTGCCTTCTCTGCTCTGATTTCCTCATAGTCTCTTTCGAGAAACGCTTTTGCGATAAACTGCCGTCTGTCAATAGCTGTCCCGTTGAAGCACAAAATGCCGCAGAAAAGTCCCGTTAAACACATACTATTTGCTCAGATAGATCGTCGAGTGCAGCCTGGAAACGTTCGTGAGCCGCCGGGATCGTCTTTTTGAAACGAGCCCTGGCCTGTGTTGAGCCACCAGCTCGAAAAAATCGACCCATTTCAACGAGCTGTCAGCAGTTAGTATTATCGACTTACGAAGTAGTGGGAAGAGATGCCACGCTACCGTCTGATTGACCATAGCTGTTAACACAGCAAGGGACTCTGGATTTGAATAATTTGATGTTTCCATGGTGGGAAACGCTCCGATTCATCTAAAATGAACTGAAGATTTTTGTCCAACAATGGGCACTACCTGCAGGATGCGACAAAGTTAGTTCCATACTGGCAGCATGCCTATGGTTCTCTCATTTTTCGGTATCTCGTCCCTGAGTCTAGGACAAACAATTGACAAAGACTATGCATTAATCGAAACAAATGATGCATAAGATACATACAAGGACAAAAAATCATTTGGTCAGAGTATCATTTGAAGAGCTCACCTTCAACTTCAACTTTCAGACCGCACAATGTCTGCCTTCTATGCTTGAGAGGATCTCGGCCCAAATCGAGCTCATTCACAAGGACCAAATAGAGTCAAGTTAAGCGCCCTCTCATGACCAGCGGCATCTATCCTAATACGCTAACCTCATCAGGACTAGCATGTCACCCACCCAAGCGGCTCTTTGCCAGTTGCCCATCCACAGTTTGTCGTCCTTTTGCTCCAGCTGTTAGAAACTCCTCCCGTCTGAACTAGTTAGTAAAGGTATGGTAGAGTATCTTAGTAGCCTACCAAAGATCATCACATCACATCTCTTCTTCTTCTTCCCCTGTTCCCATCTCATCTCACTCCTCGCATTTTCCTCCATCGCGCTTCTGTTGGTGTCAAGGTCTCTGTGATCTTGTTTTCCTTTTTCTCTCTTTGTTTCGCTTTTCCCTTTTGGCGCTTTTATTCTTCTTTGTCCTTCGTCTCTTTCCCCCTCTCCCGACAACCACTTGTGTTTGTCAAACCTGGATCTTAAGCTATTTTTCTACCACCACATCTAAAAATTTGTTGGGGCTGAGTGCTGAAAAGAGCCGTGTTCGAGTCGTCCTGACTTAACGTATTTTAATTCATCACAGAGCTCCTTTGGGAGCGATTCTTCTTTTTTTTTTTTGAAAGACTGCCTGCCGTCTCGATTTTCTTGATCTAGCGAATCTTGCTTCTTTCGGTGTCTCAATCCCCGCGTCACTTTCCGCCTTCTCGATCAACATCGATTTTGTTGACTGCTAAACGCTGTGCACCGTCGAGCAACAAACAGCGCATCCCAACTTAACGCTTCCATCGCCGATCCACTTGTGCATTGTATCGCTTGACGGTTCTTGCTGATTTTACCCTGGTATCAACCACAATGGCCGAGAACATGTCCACTTCTGGGTCTTCCACCCTCCCACCTCCGCCTCCGCAAGCATCGTCTGCTTCGGGTCAGCAGTATGATTCTTCTCAGGGCAACGGGCAAGCCAATCCTTCCCATATGCCACCCCCGCCTCGTCCGCCTGTCGTGATTCCCCAGAACACCAATCCTATCCCAACCGCTATCACGTCCCCGATGTCCGGGAACATGATGTCCCCGACCAGTGCTGGTGGATATGTACGCCGGGCCGCCCCCGAGCCAAACAAGAGAGCTCTGTACGTTGGAGGACTTGATCCAAGAGTGACTGAGGATATCCTGAAGCAAATCTTCGAGACTACCGGCCATGTCCAGAGTGTGAAGATCATCCCCGACAAGAATGTAAGCTTTACCCCTCCCTATTGCGATAATCCTTAAATGCGATGTTAACATTTTGAAAGTTCAACAGCAAAGGATACAATTACGGTTTTGTTGAATTTGATGACCCTGGCGCGGCTGAGAGGGCTATGCAGACCCTCAACGGCCGTCGAATCCACCAGTCGGTATGCATTTTTTGAATACTTACAAGGTCGTCGCCTTGTGGTCCCATTACTGAGTGTGATATAGGAAATTCGGGTGAACTGGGCTTACCAGTCAAATTCCACGAACAAGGAAGATACTTCTTCTCACTTTCACATTTTCGTCGGCGATCTAAGCAACGAAGTCAATGACGAGATCCTGCTCCAGGCCTTCTCCGCCTTCGGTTCGGTGTCCGAGGCTCGCGTCATGTGGGATATGAAGACTGGTCGTTCCCGTGGCTATGGCTTCGTTGCCTTCCGTGAGCGTGCCGATGCAGAGAAAGCACTGAATGCCATGGACGGCGAATGGCTTGGTTCGCGTGCCATTCGCTGCAACTGGGCTAACCAGAAGGGACAGCCTTCTATTTCTCAACAGCAGGCTATGGCGGCCATGGGCATGACTCCCACCACACCCTTTGGCCATCACCACTTCCCTACGCATGGGGTCCAAAGCTACGACATGGTCGTTCAGCAGACGCCACAGTGGCAGACTACATGCTACGTGGGTAATCTGACTCCGTACACTACGCAAAACGACCTTGTCCCTCTCTTTCACAATTTTGGATATGTACTTGAGACGCGCCTTCAAGCAGACCGTGGATTCGCCTTTATCAAGATGGATACACACGAAAATGCTGCGATGGCTATTTGCCAATTGAATGGGTACAATGTTAACGGACGTCCTCTGAAATGCAGCGTACGTTTGCTGTCGCCCTTTTCGTTCTTATCCTAAGGCTTCTTTTACTGACCGTTGTAGTGGGGTAAGGACCGACCTCCTACCGGCCAATTCGACAATTTCTCCGGCCAGCAACCCAACTCGCCCTTCAACTCCAGTCCAGCTACATACTTTCCTCAATACGGTGGCCCTGGTGCTCCTATTACCCCCCAGGGTACGTTTCATATTCTTTCCCCCAGTGATCTGTTATAACGACTAATTTATCCTATCATAGGCCCCACTCCTGCTGGGCGAGGCTGGGAGCAGGGGGGAATGACTGGCCAAGGATATGGCCAGGCCCCCCAGAATGCGGGCTTCGGCCGCGGACAGGCCACACCCAACTCTGGCTGGAACCAGCCAAATAACGGCAACTTTGGAAATGGCTTTGGGGGCTACCAAGCGTAGCTTGTCTCTAGCCTATAATGCTGTATATGGGCCTTTCTGCAGCAGCCCAGCCAGATGATCGACAAGGTGCACAGCTATTTACAACAGCGATGGTGAGAAATTTGGTGTGCTCGGTTTCATTTTCAACTCCTATTTCTGGGAGTATCCCACTTTTCTGCTCTATACTTTCACCGCAAATCTCCTCTTCTTTTCTCTCATTTCTATGGCTTTATTTCTTCGTCTCACGATTGGCCTATGAAGTGGATTATCGAGCGCATGCTTCCCATTCTCAAGTGCTTCTTTTCAAATGAAATTTGTGTGTTTTCGTACACCAATACCCCAAGTCCACTTTGTTTGCATCAAGGCCCTGCTCTGTTCTTTGAATGATTCTACGCAGATTGTGAGCGAAGCTTTTTGGGACTTCTGATTCAAGTTTTCTTCGGAACAAACGAAAAGTACCTATCATCACCTACCTAGTCCTCGACTTGATACCTTCTATCATCTTCATAAATTACCTACTTCTGGGCGTGTATCGTATCTTCTCCATCTATGTTGTCTTCTCTATTGGATGAATATGTATTTCGAGCCGATTCAGCAAGCCTTTCCTTTCTGATAGTGCTATTTTGCTCTCGTTCTTTCAGCCGTCTCATTTTTTGGTCGGGTGTCCTGCAGACTCGTATAACAATCATGATTATGCTCTTTGCAATACATGTGAGTCAACATTGTGCTTGCCTTTTGTCTCTTGTGAGCCGCTATATTTCACCCTGGCTCCTATCGCTGTCTCTGGCGCTCTGGAAGATATACTTTATGCTCGTCTTGTGAAATACTTGTGGCCTTGAATCATATCCTGTATCTCGAATAAGTGAACGAGCCGTGTCTGTGGATCCTAGCTAGCTCTTGTATTTGAATATGGCTTTATGATTCTGCCAAACTTCAAGGTTGAGCTGCTCACTTAGGAATCAATCTGGCCGCTTGTTGACCTTTTAGTCAAGTATCGTTTTTGGCGATGCATCTGGATTGTGGAGCGGTGCGGAGAAGGTTGGCGCCGGAGGTCTTGGCCTTAGGCCCACCACGCCCTGCCTCCTCCCGCACTCGCCTTTGCATCACAACTTTAATCCACCGAATGGAATCTCCAGCCAGAGTGACCCCTGAACGGGTACGAATTTGCGCGACGAAGGATTGAATGTTAGTATATTCACAACCGGGTCACTTGCGCGCGGCTTGTGCCAATGGAAGATGCAGGCGACACAAAAAACGTGACTCTATCCCTCGACAACGATGACCGGCTTTCTGGAAGGGCACGCTCGGGAAGCACAAGCAACGGACACAAGCGCAGCACGTCCGGCTCGCTGCTGTCGAAATTCTCTTTTCTCCGAATGAACACCGGGACGCACCACACTACCGAACGATCGCATCTAGGCGGCGAAAAGCACGATGAAGAGGAATTCAGTTCTGGATTGCAGGGTGGGAGGGCGATGTCGAGCGCTTTACAACAACGGAGAACGCGAAGGAGAAGGGGCTCGCTAAGGAAAACTGCGCTGCTGGGAACGCGATTCGACTATCGAGATAAGAAGTCTACTTGGGCGACGATCGACGTGTTACGAGCGGATGGCAATGCGCCACCACACGATCAGACTACAAACGTCCTGGTGCCATCCATAGCCGATTCGGTCTCAACGCAGGATCAACCTACGTCTCTTAGAACCGCAGCGGCTCAAACAGACGAGAACAATGCCAACTGGGGCCTCGTGCATGACCAGCGGGAAACCCTGTCTGCTCCCCAGCGGTCGCGGAAGGGTCTCTCGAAGGAGAACGTGCTTGGAGACGAGATTGGCACGGACGATGAGGATATGATTGCCTTACCTCGCGTCAAGAATGCCAAGTCTGCCATCGGTTCTGCCTTTGGAAACTCTTCTACCAGCAGTACCAGCGGTGCTGCGGGATTACGTATACCGACGCCTCCATCGAGTTCGGATTCCTACTATGCTCTGCCAACAGACGCATCGTACAGAGCCGTGCATCGCACCAAGTCACCCCTTGCCACGCATGTCGTTGACCTTAAGCCCAGCCAAGAAATTGTCTGGGATTACTCCGAGACCGAATGGTGGGGGTGGATCATCTTAATCGTGACTTGGCTTGTTTTCGTGGTGGGAATGGGCAGTTGTTTCGGCGTTTGGAGTTGGGCTTGGGATGTCGGTGAGACGCC